TTTGCTTGGGGATCAAATACTTATTTCACTCACTGAAATGCAAATCAATCTCTAACCTTTATATAATGTGTTTTTTCTGGATTTTTTGGTTGATATTCTGTCTCTATATGTTAAAATAAACCTACCATAAAAATTACAGACCCTTCATTTCTTTGTAAGTGGGTAAACTTACAAAATCAGCAGGGGATCATATAAATATTATCCCCACTGTAATGTAAATTTTTCTGAGGCTGCATTGATTTGATTAAATATAAAACTAAAACTGATTTTATTAAAATGAAAGCAGTAAAAACAGTAAAATTGTGAAATGTTGTTAGCGTTTAAAATATGATAATTTGAATGTAATTCCTGTCATGGGCATGGCAAAGCTGAATTTTCAGCAGGCATTATTCCAGTCTTCAGTGTCACATGATCCTTCAGAAATCATTCTAATATACTGATTTGGTGCTCAAGATTTCTTATCAACAACGTTGAAAACGGTTGTTCTGCATAATATTTTTGTGGAAACTGTGATACATTTTTTACGACTCTTTGATGAATAGAAAGTACAACAACAGCATTTATTTGAAATGGAAATCTTTTGTAACATTATAAATGTCTTTACTGTCACTTTTGATTAATCTAATGCATCCTTGCTTGAATAAAAGTATTAATTTTTGAACAGTTGTGTGTACATTTCAAATTGTATTTTTATTTTTAAGAACCATAACATAATCAAGAGCTAAAATACAGAAATTGATTTTCTTGTTATTTGTATTTGTTTTTAGCCAATAATATAGCACTTTCGTATCTTATATTTTGTCTCCTCTAGACTCTAGAGACGGTGGAGAATGCAGATATCCATCTGATGGACAGAGATTTGATGCAGGTTGTTTTTAGTCTGACTAAGGCTGGCCATCAGCAGTATGTGCCTGAGATTGTGGAGCGCATGCATCACGAGAGGGGATATGTGCCAGGTGTGTCTGCTGACAGCAGTGTCATGTCATGGAAGAGGAAGGAATATGGAACCATTAGCTTCGAATTTTGCCCTAAGCACTTACCATAGTGGTCCATAGTGAGCCATAATGGTCCCATATGTATTCGTAGAAGTATTCTATTTTAAGTGTTTTAAATATGAACCCAGGCCAGTTAGAGAAATGGGATACATACAGTATTGATGCAGTGAGAAGTTATGGGATTTTGAGAAAGCTATGTTTTTTATTTTGATACTTAGTCTGACCCATCCTTTTGTTTTTATTTCCTCAGATGCTATGAACCTCTGCTTGAGTCTGATTACCCACGGACACGAAGAGACTGCGTTTTCTGTGCTGAAGAGCTTCACCGGCCTGCTGGTACAGTCGCAGACCAGTGACTCCCCAGACTTGGGAAACTTCTTTCTTCGCCACTGCGTCAATATGGACAAGGTAAACATTTTTTACAAGTGCATATTAAGTGTACCTGTATGTTGAATTTTTTTGAGAATTTTTGGCTTAATGTTATTAGTGCTATGTTAAATTGGGTGTTTGTGTGCTTGCAGTCTGTGGAGAACATAGTTGGGTTTTGCAAAGATCTAAAAGATTCAGGTCTGCACTCATCGCCACTGCAGTTCACCCTTCAGTGCGCCCTGGAAGCTAAAAAGACCGGTGAGTACAATGATGATTTAAAGTTCAAAAACAATACTTAATCCTCAGTTATTGTCTTTTCAAGTCCCAGGCTTTTAATTCAAGCTTAGTCTGTTCAAGCTTGTTTGTCTATTTTTGAATCTTTTGTTTTCAAATACTTTATTGATGTGATAATAGCCATTGATGCTGTTATAACAATATTCAAAGATATTAACCTAATAAGAAAAATAACACTGGGTTTTGACATTTTGAAATATTATAACTTATAATAATCCCGTGTTAAAAACTTCTGGCCCGGTTTTCAGATGTCTTTCTCTTCATTTTTAGTTTAGCTGATGATTGCACAGCTCAATTTGTGAAATATGCTTCATCATTTTAAGGTATGGCTGTTGAGCTCATGAGAAGGATGAAGGAGGAGGGCTTGCCTCTCAGACCTCATTACTTCTGGCCCCTGTTTACTCATTACCAGAAAGAGAAGAACATTTCTGGTGAGTCCTGAGCTTCCAGCCTCATTCTTAAACACTCTTCTGCACTTTTAGTTCCATAATCTGATGAATTTTCTATTGATATTCAACAAGGAGAAATTGTCCAGGATTTGGTATTATCCAACTGGAATGAATTGGAATGTGAAAAGTTAGAGTAGGCTATATATTTATTTAGCTGTGGAATAGGACAAATTGACTCTGACACCTTAATAAAAAAAAAGTCAATCATCAATTTAGATGTTGAATATTACATTTTTCCTCCATAGTTCTTTGTTTATCTGTTCCAGACTTACAAATAAATGTTCTAACAAAAGAGCATGTCCAGATAAATCCTGCTGAGACTGCAACAGCGAGTATAAAAACATTTCTTTTCTTTTTTTTTAAACCAATAGCCTTCATGAAACATGCAGGATTGCTCTCACCTTTCTATTCCTGTACAGTTTTTTTGTTTGCTCAGTGTTGAAGTCTGCACTACGTGAAGGTTACATGACAGAATTAGTAGTGACTGGGTCTCATGTAAATGCGAGCGCTCTGAGGGAATTCACTTTCAATTACGTGCGCCGCTGTGCACGGCCATGAAATATTTAGCGCCATGTCACATTCTGTCCACAGGTGTCACCAGCGGGCAGACGCCCATCCCCCTTTCCACCCACCGGTTTTCCGTCCACCCGTTCATGAGTGCGGAGAGGGGGAAAAGTTTGCATTTTGATGAGGTGTGGATTTGGGCAGGCGAGTTTGAAAAAGCATATGCTAGCTTTGTCTCGGCAGCCGCTAGCAAGCGGTGCTTGTCAGATTCAAGAAGCAATGCAGCTCATTGCTTGTGACATGGCGCGAGAAGAATGCCTTAGTCCCTCACATAGCACACAACAGGCTTTCAAATCTGCATCTTAAACACTCTTTGCACTACTCGCATTTTGAAAAATCTCTTTTTGACTCTCTTTGTCATGCACTTGCATTGGATGCTGAGTTCTTTTAAATCTCAGTAACTGCAGAAAGCCACTTTATGGCTTGCATCAACTTTAATATCCATCTGAGGGGAAGCATCTCAAGGGCTAGAGGTGGGATGTGATCTTGCCGTTTAGTTCCTCTCTATTACATCATATCTTTTTTCTGGAGCTTACTTGAACTTGAACTGACACATTTTTCTTTATGGACTACATAAAACAGGAAGACTCAATCTGCAATGGCTTCACCATGTTCTTGCACATTCTGTTGTCAGATGATGTATAGTAATAACACTATAGTTGTGTTTCAAAACCTAATAAGTGTCCTGTTTGTCTTTTGACCATATAGGCATCTGACTCTTGAGCATCCAAGTGAATATAAACCTCATAAGCAGGCTCATGTGGAGTTGGTTGACTTAGCCTTTTTTAGTCTTTATTTTCTGTCTCTTATATTTTAATATTCTTATAGTCTCTTATATTCAACAGTGCTGCATTTATTTGATCTTCATTTGATCAAATACAGTTAAATCTGAAATTTTGTGAAATTTTTACAATTTCAAATAAATGTTTTCTATTTTAATATATTTTAAAATATAATTTAAATAGAAACCTTAAACATCATAAATGTCTTCATTGTGATCTTTGATCGATTTAATGCACCCTTGCTGAATTTCTTGCTGGAAAAAAGAAAAAAAAAAATCTTACTGACCCCAAACTTTTTGAACATTTATGTACATGTGCTTTCATGTTTCAACAGACCCAAGCAAACTCCAGGTCTTGCGTGTAGCAAGATATACTTTTGGCTTTTTAAAATCCATTTCATTTTAAAATTGGCCTTGTTTGGAGATACACAGGGATTAAAGTTCCGTCGGATTTCCGACAGTCACTTGCTTCATTCCTGAATGATTCAGCCGCTCGAACGAATCAATTGAATGAATGATTCAGTGACTTGCCGCCACCTGCTGGTGGATTTAGCGTATAATTTCAATTATTTAAATCATATTTCTGTATTCAAAATTTATATTTAAAACATTAATCTCCACCTAAATTTATGAATTTAATTGCACTGATGCTACCTCTGAGCCTCATTAAACGTCTGAAAATGTACCTACAAGCCACTTTTGTGTTCTTCTGTGCCACCTCTGTAGTACAAATTAATTTATTAATACTAATTTCATATGATTGGTAACTTATTTGTCTTATTCTACTTATTATATTGCAGGGGTTAAAGCAAAAAAAAAATCTTTTGACTGAAAATTTTTCTTCGACCAACCCCATTCCTCAGCCATACCTGTCACACACCCAGTTTAAGAGC